TTTATATTTTTATATATATTATATTTTTTATTATATTAAATTACTAATAAATATATTATAATAATTATATTATACTAATAAATACAATGTAATAAAAAATATAATAATAATATATTAACATTAATTATTTAATATATATATATATAACTATAACAATTTGATTAATAATAATACTTATTTGTAAAGTATATTTAAAATAATATCAAGAATTTTATTAAATAAGTTTACTTCAAATTACAAGAAAATAATAATTACGTAAAATCGTCAAAGATTAAGTCTCATTTATTTTTGAATTTCTTTTTAATATCATTCACTCTATTTCATGTTATAACACAATAAGAATCTCTCTTTCTCTTTTGAAGAAGTAGCAGTAGGAATGTCACCCTAAATAAAATTCTTTTTAAGAGAATTTCTTCATTTTCTTTATTAAAATTCGCATCGTATCAAACCTTGCCATTTACAAACTAAAGAAAAATATACACAAATGTAATTAAAATAAAATAAATGTGAAATGATTTATTATAATAATAAAATAATTTAATATCGAGAACAAGAAGAAAGTTTAGTCGAAAGTTTATCGAATTTCATCTCGTAGTATTCGTTGCTTGATAATAAAAAAAAATAAAAAAAATAAAAAGCAAAAAGGTCGATTACAAAGCTTTCAATCTCTTTCAATCCACGCTCTCTTCTCGTTTTACCCCCACCACTTTAAAACTCTTCCATGGCATTGGCCGTGACCGCGCAATAAATCGACCCATTCAGTCTAATGATTAATTAAATATAATGACTACACCAGCCGTGACTGATGACCATGCTAAGACAATGTCCGACTCGTATTGGTGGCCCTTTTCCAAAGAAATACACACACATATATACACATTACATATATTTATATGAGAAGATCATATGTAATGTGTAGGTGTATGGTGAATACACCGTAACATTGGTAGCACATACGATATGATATACGTTATTCATATACACGGTGTCATACTATTTTATAATTTTGTTTTATTTATAAATCATCAATATAATAAACAATAATCGATATTTTAGGAATGTATTTGTAAATTACAATTTGATCAACAAATGAATAACATATGTTTGATAAAAATGAGATCAAATGATTGTACAAAATTCTATTTATTATAGTATTATTTCAAAATGTCGGTGTAAAGATATTTTTCTAAATTTTATTTGAATTTTTGTAATTGCAAAATTTCTATTAGATTATTATATACGTAAAAAAAAAAAAAAAAAAAATAAAAAGGACAAGTTTTGTGAAATGAAACAAATGCGATGTATTAATTTTAATCAACAATACTTTGTAGTTTAAATTATACCAACAAAAAAAAAAATATAAATTTGTGAACACCCAGTAGGATGAAATGCATATGTTAACGTCGAGGTAGCATAAGCTAAGATTTGTACGTGTCCGATGTCTCGCGGATCCCGGTAAGCGACAGAAGGTGGATGGAAAACATCATTCAGAGAAAGAGAAACAGAAAGAGAAGAAAGATAGTTAGTAGGACGTATCATCTTTCTTTCTCTTTTTATCTTATTATTAAAGCGTTACGAGGTAGCCCACGACTGTGAGACTCCGACACCTTTATGAGAGTTATTAATATCGAATAGTCCAACTACCATTGCCATTATGAAAGCTAATGAGACGTCGTTTTTTCTCGTGACAATGAATCTGCTTCCTGTTTAATCTTTAACTTGTTCCTATAACTTACAAGTCTTGTAATAATATCACTAACATAATAAAGAGAAACAAAACATTATTCAGGATTAATGATCAATGTTAATTGATTAACCATTGGTTAACATTAAACATAAATTAAATTGTTTTTTCTTTTTAATAAAATAGAAAAATGACGAGCTTGAAATATTTGATTAATAAAAATACTCTAAATGTAATGACCAATGTTAATTGGATAATTATGATTATTATTGAACATAAATAAAATTAAAAAAAAAAAAAACAACAAAAAACTATACAAATTCTGTAGAACAAAATAAAACAAGTGAATAGGAAATATTTGATTAAAAGAATTAAAAAAAAAGGAAATATATTTAAATAACATGATGTATATTAAAACGTAAACATAAATGGTTAATGTTATATCTGAATAATTCAGTCGACATTAAATATAAATTAAAAATTATTGAATAATAATATACGAATTTATATACAAGTTCTATAAAAAGTAATAGACAGGAAATGTAAGATTGTAAAAATAAAAACAATAATAATAAWAAACAGTAGTAATAATGAATGATTAAATGATGGATATTAAAATCTATACATTTATGATCAAAGTTTAATTGGGTAACCCAGTTAGTAAAATATAAATGAGTAGAAATCTATAAATATACTATAAATACATGTGTATATATATATAAATAAAAATGATTAAGGAGAAAATATTAAATGTGTAAGGACATGGAAAAGGTGGCATTTAAAGATGGCCTTTAAAAATAAACCTTAACATTCGCCGCAGGATACACGTATATCAAATCGTTAACATCCGCAACAAATTATCAGTTTCTCGACGTTCGTTCTCATTACATCGGTATTTCATTTATTACCTGTGCTAATTAGAACCGAAGGTAGAAAGATCTTACCTGGTAGTTTAAACCCGTTGACGTCGTGGTAAATAAAAGTTCAATGAATGAATGAACGAATTGGAATGAATAGAACGATCGAGAAAGAAACATTGATTTATTCGATAAAGAAAAAATTTTGATAATGGTTGTTGTACGGGGTAATTCATGTACTAAAGCCGATTTACAACTTGTACATGTTGTTATTTTTTTTTATAAATTATAATATTTTATGCGATAATGTATTCGATTATGTTTTATGGGAAAGAATTAATTGAGGAACCAACGATAAATTGATTTCATTTTAATGTACGTTGATCAGTTTAGTTTAAATTGATCAGATTTGCGAGATAGAAAAGGGAATAAAAAAAAAACAAAATCATTGCAACTTCATTAGAAGTTAAACCTTATTCGCAAACATCGATCATTGGTTAATTGTATCTATCTATAGACGTTATTTGCTTCGTTGATTTTATAATATACTATGGAAGTGATTAAAAGTGTTAGGAAAAAAAAAAAAAGAATTATAAATAATGATTTATAAAATTGTTTTTATAATGGGTATAATAACAAAAATATCTGTCAGGTAAAAAACCTTTTCAGGTAGATGTACAGGTAAAAAATTTCTATTAAAAAAATAAAATAAATGTCTGTATTTTTTACGAAAAAAGAAAAGAAGAAAAGAAAAGAAAATTTTGTTGATTTTTCATGATATCTCGGTTAGATCTTTGAATGAATAATTTAACCTTTTCCAAACCATTCAGAACTTAACGAAGGAAAAGAAAAATAATTTCAAATCCAATTATGATTATCTTGGAAAAATAACTGTTGGTGAGGAGTAAAAAGGATTTTGAGAACATGTTTTTTTTTTCTTGTTTTTTTTATCAATGTGTCCTAACAAGTCCTGTCAATAATTTTTAAACTAATCTTCAAGTTCTATGAATATGCACGAACACATATTGTCATCAACACATTTCTTTCAAATTTATTGTAATTTGAAACACGATTCTCAAATTCTTTTCCACTTTTTTTTTTCAAAATAATTTTACCGAAGGTTGGGAATAAAATTATGAAAAGTCACGTTTCTTTCTATTATTGAAATAAATTATAGAAAACGAAGATTATCTATTTTTGTTTTTTTTTTTAATTTTCAAATAGAAAAGAATTTACAAAAAATAATATTGTACTTTCGGAAAAAAACAACTTTCTAGCACTTTTATCTTGAATAAATACTTATTTAAGAAAAAAATGGATTTACAAAAAAAAACATTAACCCTAAAATTTAATAATAAAATGGAAAGTCTCAGGTACTTTCTATTCTTTTTTTTATAAGTAATACTGTATACCTGAGCAACATTAAACACATTCACAAGAAAAGAATTTTCAGTTTAAACTTTGAAAAGAAAAGAAAAGAAAAAAAAAAAGAAAAAAATCTAACAGCAGATAAATACTACTGGGGTTGTTAAATAATGTTAACTTCACGGTAAAGTTATACAGCGATCGATCAACGACACAAATAACTCTCGAGTATCCACGGGTAATTAGCTATCTAGGTGTAGTACCAATTCTAACACAGAAGAAATAACAATAAAAACAAAATTATTATTATACCGAATATCCATTTTCTCTTTTTATTTTTCTCACGTAGAACTCGTTGAGGTCAAGAGTTGAAAATCTCCGTATGGTGGTTGTTCTTTAAATTATCTACAATTAATAATCCTTATGGAGTTAACAGATCAACACGATTAATCTAAAAACCTTCAACGTAAACTCTATCGAGATAGTTTCATGACAATGAAAGATATTAATCCAATTAAACTTTAAATCCATAAGAAAAATATTATGAAGTATCTCGTATGAACTGCAAGTATGTATGAGTACTACTAGAGTATAATTATTATTGGTACTACATAAGAACTTGGAAAAAGATCGGACCAATTTGAGCAAGTTTACGCCCAAAAGTAATCGGATGCTGTAGGAGGGTAAAAAGGGAATATTTAAGGGAAGGTAATAGGGATGGAAAGGTAGGCGGTATCAGGGGCATGCGCTTTGATGCTCAACACGCCCACAAACGTGTAGGAGATTGGCGAGTGTGTAGGACTGGAGGAGAGTCTCCAATCGGGTCCAGTTGACACGTCACCAATAAAACGCTGGTAACCAGATAGGGAGCTTCCCAACTGGTTGATTGTTATCAAGTTCACGCCTATTGAGAGTGGGGATAATCAGGTTCGTCGAATGAAACGCTTGTATTTGGGCACTTGGTGGGGGCCCTGGAAACGTTGAATAGGGAACTAAAGAGAACGGTGGAGATGGAAGAAAGAGAGCCGCCGAAATCAAGCGAGCTGTGCCCTGAGTTCTCCCGCCAGGAGTCCAGATACACTCTCAGTCCCGCTGTGAGCGTAGAAAGACACACTACGGAATACGGGTTTACATAGTCTCTCCAGCCGCGTTTGACTAAGTTGCTTTTTCTTCTTTGATATCGCGTTTCATCGAATCGGATATTTTTGCTTTTTTTTTTATTTTTATTTTTCTTCATCGTACGACATGACGGACATTGGTGAAATTTAAACTGATTATTAAATGTGAAGTTTTAATATAAATAGTTTTTCATTTCTTGTTTTTGTTTGTGACTGTGAGAAAGATAAAACAAAAGTAAATATCTAAAGACAAACGTAAAATAATGTGTAAAAGTGTTATTTTGTCTATCAATCTCCTTCGAGGAGATTAGAATTTAAAATGGAAGAAATATATCGTCATAAAATTCCGACGATTTAATCGAAATTATTTCGATAGAAGTGTTGCGTAAAATTATTAATCAAATTGTTCTTCTTAAGACAGGACGCGTTGTTCTAATTTTAACGTTGATTTCTGTATAAACAGATATTATTATTATTGTTAGAGATCGAACGTTATAATCGAAGAATATAAACTCGATTAGATATAAATAAACTGATATGATAAGCCGGCGGGCTCGAAACGCATTGAAATGTTAAAGTTAAATAAGTGTTAAGTTCCATGATGATGAATACTTTTCTCGATGGCGTATCTCCGCATTCTCACCACCTAGCGACCCTGGGCATCAGATTGTCTCCAAGCGGAGGAGATGGCAACATGGGGGGTGGTGGTTCGACGGGTGACGGCAATGCTGGTGGTGTCCAACCGACGGTCGGCGAAGCACCGTCCCAACAACATCACCATTTCCATCCTCAGGGTTATCCTCCCCATCATCCTGCTCCTCACATGGCACCTCATATGGGCCACCACATGGGTCATCACGCAGGTCATTACACTGCTCGTGATTTTTTGCTACGCCGCGAACACGAGTACAATGCGACGGCTAATCCGTCTACATCGGAAAGTGGTTTAAGTATATTCCCTCCGTTGCATCATGATGGCACTGCTGCTGCCTCGATGCAGCAATTTCCTCATCACCCGAGTCAACATCCCTTAGCAGGACACTATACTGGACATTATCCTCAAGATACCCGGTTATCTACACATCATCAATATTTAGGTTCCCCGCATTTGACGCAGGCTTCTATACACCATCAACAGCACCCCCCCACTGTTACTCATACAACACATCATCCCCATGCTTTCCTTAGATACGTGAGGAACAACGGTGTAGGCCATGGTAGTGGCCCAGCTCCTGGTTTAATACAAACCGGTGGACAACACCAAGAATTCTCTTGTTTGTGGGTAGACCACGATTCATCATCTAGTACGGGAAAAAGACTTTGCCGTAAAGTTTTTTCCAATTTATCCGATATAGTCACGCATTTAGCCATTGATCATGTTGGAGGACCTGAGGTTACAACGCACGCGTGCTATTGGCAAGGATGTGGACGCAACGGCAGGGCATTCAAAGCCAAATACAAGCTCGTCAATCATATAAGAGTACATACTGGAGAAAAACCCTTCCCTTGTCCTTTCCCCTCGTGCGGGAAAGTCTTCGCAAGATCGGAAAATCTTAAGATACACAAGAGAACTCATACAGGTAAGTACATTAGCATAATTTTTCTTATACAAACATTTGTCTTAATTTGATGGGGGAAAAAAAAAGATTTATCTCTTACGAACGGATAGATAAATCATTGAAACAAAATAATCTTCCATACTACTACAACTATTAGCACTGATACAACAACTACTCCTCCTTCTTTTCCTCGTCTTCCCTCTTTAGTCTCATTTACCAGATCCTCCAGAGACGCCCTCGGCGCCTCAGCTCGTTTCATTGTAATCAAGGAGGTCTTTACGATGACAAGAATTTTTTCGGTCGCAATTAAGAAATTACCAGGCTATATATCCTTACGTTTTATGCCCAAGACCCTGGACATTGTATTAACATATTTATATACGAGACGAGGCTAAAGCCACTCTTCTCATTGGTCGTTCTCTTGCCGACGGCTAGACGCCACCAAGAGAAGAAACCGGCTGCTGCTGATGCTGCTGCTTAAACCTTCTCTCTTCCTCCGTTCTTTGGGAAATTCCTTTCTGGAAAGTCACTATTAATTATTTCTCTTCCCAACTACCCTGTTCTTGTTTCCTTTTTTTTTCTCTTTTTTTTTTTTTATTCTTTTTAAACGATTCTACCTTTACATTTATCGCAACACAGTTAAATTCTGTTATCACAATTCCAATCCATTAAAAAATTTGGTTAACAAATTTGTTCCAAATATATTTTTTTTTTATCGTGATACTTGTAATGTTTTTTTTACTTTTATTATTTTTGTTATATTTTTACGACCAATCTTCCAAAGATACAAACTCATTAATACAACTATTATTAAAATATTATTTATATTAAACAAAAGTCCCACAAAATACATGCGTAAAAATTTCACGTATTACATTAACATGAAATCGTATATTAAAATAAATAATTATTTCATTCGTAGCACCGGTCGGTGTAATGAAATCGCTAAAATTTGTTTGTAATTTTTGGATCATCATCTAACATATACACAGGTGGATTTCTAGTTTAAATTCGTACGAGTTTGTAAAAGTTACTATACGTTGTTGGATATTCCTGGTGTTGTATTATATATCGCGTAAGATTAAATTTCATTTTCATTTACAACAAACAACGATTCTCACCCCTAGTTTATCTCATTCGCAAGCTCAGTCGCTTGTTTGCTTGCTTACCAGCCTCGGTTGGGATTCATCAACCCCCGTAGCAAATACGCTCTTTCTCTTTCTCTCTTTCATTGACAATACACAAGATGCGAGAGTCGCCATGTTTCGTTGCTCATCCCCCTATTTGAAAAAGTACCCTACCATCGACCAATCGAAAAACGTCCAACAACACTTCGTGATACGCCTCGAGCTTATTCTCTATTAATTTTCATCGATGAAAGATGCCAGATCGTTTGAGATGGAACGTTTTTCTCTACGACGAAAAGCTTCTCCACCTCCTCCTCCTCCTCCTCCCCCTTCTTTTCTTCTTCTTCTTCTTCTTCTTCTTATTGTTCGCGATTAATAACGCCGGTGGTGTTAAATTCGTCGAAGGGAACATATACACGGAACACTAACATAAAAAAATAGGGGGGGAAAAAAAAAAAATAACACATGAGAGAAAATTTTTCTCTTTTTTACGGTTATTTTCAGATAGAAAATTATGGGTGTCTGGTTTGATTGGTCGATTTTTTTTTTTTTTTTTTTTTTTTTTTTTTTTTTTTTTTTAATCATATTACGTGTTCGTCGTTGAAGGTAATATAATTCGAGGTCGGTTACTTATTTTTTTTTTTTGGTATTTTCTTTTTCTCTCTGGAGTAATAATATTTTTATAATACAAATTATGATATTATTTATCGAAATAATTTCAGTTTAAATTTAGCGTATTATTATATTTGTTAATGCATTGTATATAATTTATTATATTCTTTAAAACACAAAACAGAAAATATATAATAAAAAAAAAACTATAATTTTTAAATATTTAATTAAACTTTGAATAATATGAATTATATTTGAAAGATTCGAAATAGGGGTTGGTTATTTGTCATTGTGGTTTCTTTTTTTTTTAACGCGTTTCAATTAACGTCTAGATAAAAAAGGTCTTTGTATTTTGATCAAAATTGACACGTAGGAGTACCCACTTCTCGCGAGAAATTCAAATAGACTTTTTGGTTTGTTAAAAAGAGAGAGAAAAAAAAGAAGAAAAAAAAAAGAAAAAGAATAAAATAAAATAAATAATAAAAAAGCACTTCGCGCGGTACGCACGATTTCACGCATTGTTTTTCTCCTATTCTTCGTCTATGCGTATATACACACACCTCTCTCTCTCTCTCTCTCTTTCTCTCTCTTATACATTCGTTCAAATCCGTCCACCCTATTTTTTATTTTCTTTCTTTTTTTTTTCTCTTTTACTCTTTCTTTTTTTTCTTTTTTTTTTAACCCCCATTGTCCTTTCTCGCCACGACGCAAAGCTTGATCTCGCCTCGGATTTTTCATTGTCCTTTGAACGGCGGACCTTTGACGGATCAAATATTTTGCCTGCTCGGTTGCAAAATATTTTCATACTCCTGCGACGCAAATATACGGCCAATCGTGTTCATAAGAATTTAATAAAAAGAACAAGAAAAAGAGAAAGAAATAAATTTAATATAAACACGTGAATGTATAAAATTATTATAACAATTGTAAAAAAAAAATACACATTTTTATGTTAAAGCGTATGAAAAGGAAAAACGAAGTATGCTTAAAACAAAAAATATACAAATTCTTATTTTTCTTCTTAACAATAATCTATATTACTTATATACACATATATACAATACTCTAATATAACTTATTATAATATAACTAACTATAATCATCTCCAAATATTGAACGAATTAATTATCGAAAGAATGAAAATTATTATTTAATATTATTCGTAATATTTCAAGCCTTCTATTAAATTATTCTTAATTTAATAATAATTACAAAAATAATTCAATTAATACAACAATATTTAATTTAATTTACAAATATTATTATCATCATCATCATCATCATCATCACCAATTTATCTTAATCACGTTCTTCACCCCTTTCTTTTATAAATTTTCCCGGTTTAAAGGGTCGTAGAAATTATAATTTAGATAAAAAAAAAAAAAAGAAGAAAGATGGGGGATGTTTCTTATTAAGAGCTGCAGATGCAACTTTGTTACAATCGATGCTATACCATTAGACTAAATTGATATGCATCATAAAGCGATGCCACTGCACCCTCTCTTACCCCCCTCTTACCCTCTTACTATATATAAAAAAAAGAAAAAAAGAAAGAAAGAAAAGAAAAGAAAGATATTATGGTGGTAGGAAAAAGTAAAACGAGAGACAGTGAATCTCTATCACGTGTGCAACGAATAAGAAGACGATTGGTCCGATCGACAATGGATTCCCCTCTTCAGCTTATACGCCATTGGTCAGGATTTTTGGGGAGAACTAGGCGACGAAGAATAAGGGGATGATACAGGATGAGTCGACAAGGGTCGAACGAGCAAAGGGAAATAAACGTTAAGTAGGGGGTGAACGTGTTGAGAGCTGGATCAGAGGGTTGGTCACGGAAGTTTTCAACTGTTAGATTTAAAAATGGCTACTTAAGATCATTTCAAACGATTATTTTATTTTTTTATTTTTTCAATAATCCTACCGATTTATTATCGAATCAGATTAACGAAATAATCATTTATTGCATGAGTAAAATTTATTTCATGTTTGTAGTTTGTAATAATGTTGATAGTGTTAATTGTTTAAAATTATTATGTGTGTTAAATTAAATTGTTAGATAAAATTGGTATAATAATTGTAGGAATTATTAGAGTTATCTTTGAGTATAGTAATTATTTTATTATATTATTATTTTTTATATATTTTATAATATTTAAAAATAAGATTGTAATATACAATTAATGAATATATATTTCAAGATAAAAATTTCAATAATTATATCTCTGACTATAGTAATTCTATTTAATTATACTAATATAATAATTGAAACAATATAGAAGAAAAATATAATATTAATTGTAGAGACAAAAATATTAAACGAATAAAAAGTAGTTTCGTAAAAAACCGTAGACGATATAGACGAGAATTTTGGATTACTCATCGTGCCCGATTTTTGGTTTAAAGATGAAGGGTTAGAAAGGGTGGATAGTTGAAGGGCGTAGAAACTTTAGTGAAGAGGAGAAAGACACGTTAAGAAAGAAAGAAAACTACTACTACTACTACTAATACTACTACTACTACTGGTTGGTTGCTCGTGTCCGCTTCATGGGGCGTCGACGAGTACGCGAAACGTCGAGAATTCTGAAGGGAAAGGAAAAAAAAAAGGATGCTAAAGTTATGGAGGGTGTTAGAGGGAGGGAAAGAGGGACAGAGGGAAAAAAAAGAGAAAGACAGAAAGTAACGAGACGACATTTGCTTCGGTCATGGGTTTAGAAATTGTTAGAATGATTTTGTGAAGGGTTCAATGCTTCTCCTAAACTTTCAAAAAATTACAAAGAGAAAAAGAGAATTCAATTTCTTATTAAACAAATTTTTATTATCCGAATATGGTGGGTGTTAAATTTTCGAACAAATATTAAAAATTGTTTTAGGAATTGGAACATTAAAATTTCATTTTTACTAATTAAACAATTAAACAATTATACCAATTAATTACTAGAATTGGTAATTATGATAATAGTTAAAAAAAAAAAAGAAAACAAGAATTATTAAAAATTTATTTAATGCAGCATACAAATAATTTAAATATCATATTTATTAATAATAAAATTATATATTTTTCAATTATCTTTTCGTTAGTAACAAAAGATTTGGTAATAAAAGAGAAAAAAGCAATCTATATATATAAATAAAAACAAAAATATCCCACGTTTAGTTATGATTGTTAGATCGTAGACCGATTTGTATTCGAGAACGTTTAGAAAATGATGACGGACGATCACGAGAAATAAGTCGATGATAAATAAAGATTATGCCATGTTATCGTAGAGTTATCGAAATCTC